GACAGGGTTGTATCCTTTCACCATACTTATTCAACCTGTATGCTGAGCAAATAATCCGAGAAACTGGGTTACATGAAGAAAATTGTGGCATCAGGATTAGACGAAGACTCATTAATAACCTACAAAATGCACATAATACAACCTTGCTTGCTGAACGTGAAGAGGACTTAAAATACGTACTGATGAAGATCAAAGAGCACAGTCTTCAGTATGGATTGCATTTCCATGTAAAGAAAACAAAAATCCTCACCACTGGACCAATAAACAACATTCTTATCAATGGAGAAAAGATTAAAGTTGTCAATTCTTCTTATATTAACTATCAACACTCATGGAAGAAGCAGTCAAGAAATCAACATAGGAACTTTTTAAAGTGTTGAAGAGCAAAGATATCAGCTTGAGGACTAAGGTGTGCCTGACCCAAGCCATGGTATTTTCAATAACCTCATATGCTTTCAAAAACTGGACAGTGAATAAGGAAGACCGTAGACGAACTGCTGCTTTAGAGTTACGGTTTTAGAGGAGAATATTGAAAGTGCCATGGGCTGCCAAAAGAACCAAGAGATGTCTTTTGGAAGAAGTGCAGCCAGAGTGCTCCTTGGAGGCCAGGATGGCCAAACTTCGTCTCTCATACTTCAGACATATTGTCAGGAGGGACCAGGTGCTGGAGAAAGATGGCATGTTTGTTAAGGTGGAGACTCAGAGAATAAGAAGACCCCCAGCGAGATGGATTGGCAAAGTGGCAGCATCAATGGGCTCAAGCGTGGCAACAACTGTGAGGTTGGCCCAGGACTGGACAGTGTTTCATTCTGGTGTCGCTATGAGTAGGTACCGACTCAATGGCACCTAACAACAACCCAAATAAAACAACAGATTTTAATGGAGGTCAGAAAGACCTCCAAGGTGACTCAAAGTATGGAAGACTGTCAAACTAGACAAATCAAGAAACTGTGCTGGGAGTCTAGACTGGTTAGACTATAGAATTACCATTGATACGATAGCCACTGAGCTTTGTATCTCACACAATTCAGTTATTTCCAATTTTAAGCAAACATCTTGGCCTTAACAAGCTTTTGGCTTGATGGATGCCAAAAGCGTTACACAAAAATCAGCTACCTGAAAGACCTGATCTTTCCATCAGTCTTTTAAACAGGAGTGAATTTGATGATGATGATTATAAGGAATGAAGTGTAATTGGGAGCTAATGTTGGATTTATCAAAACAAGCCACAAAGCAGTGTCCAATCAAAACAGAGGGTTCCTAGGGGACTTGTGGTTGTTGTTGTTAAGTGCCATCGAGTCAGTTCTGACTCATAGAAATCCTGTATTGGGTTTCCAAGGAGCAGCTGGTAGGTTTGAAGTGTTATTCTTGTGGTTCACATTCCAGTGCTGATCCTACAGTACCACACCAGTAGGCCAGGGATCTGACTGAGTCAGTTAAATTCAAAGCAGAAAGTTCAGCTCAGATGGTTATAAACATTGTTTTCTGGAATTCCAAAAGGGTAATCTTTATAGACTTTCCCTAAGGACACAGAACAATCATGGGTGCTTATTGAAAAAAAAAAGTTTTATTGAAACGAAAAACTGCACTCGTGAGAAAAAGGCAAAATAAGTTGCATCAAGGAATTTTTTTCTATCACAAAAATGTATCTGCTTCAAAAGTGGCATGGGCTGTTTAATAAGCATTTCATTAGGAAACCATATCCCATCCTTTCTACAGCCCTGAGCTTTGGACTTATTTCCAAAGCCCAGAGAACATTTCAAAGGAATACAAATTGAATATCGTAATGATACCAAAACGACTTCTTTGATGAGGTGTAAATTAAAGAGCACAGAATTCTGCAGGGAAGGGTTAAGGAGATGGAAGATATGCCAAGAAACAATAGCTACACATTTGGATATTTTTGTTTAATAAAGATTTGTATCATGTGTGGCAGTACTTTTTGAATTACATAAGGTGGACATGAGTGGGAGCCAATTTGAGGACAATGAACAACAAAAGTGGTACACTTACCAGGGAAAGTGCTATCTTCTGGATTAACTGAAGCGCTGATGCTTCTTTTCAGGAGGTGATAAACATGAGCAGCTGCTGTTAAGTCTAAAAAAGGAAAGACAGACTCATTGAATAAGTTCAGAATCTAGGTGTACTCCAATTTAAGTATCGGAGACTTTCAAAACCAAGGTATTGCGAATATTAAAACTACACGCAACTTAAGATCTATTTCAGGTTTGTGATAGGATATCTAAACGCACACAGAAAAAAAGAGGAAAAATTACAAGCAGCCAGTTAACACATGTCCAAAACTACTCTAAAAGAACAGTGTTCCACAAAGGGAAGGGGAACCAGATACTTCCTCCACAAAATGTCTGCTCGTTGGAAAGAAAACATAACTAAAATGTAATAAAAAACAAAGTCGAGGCAGGACCACCAAACAGAAGCTTATCACAAATGGATGAAAATTGCTGCAAATCTATCGTTTGTTTTTAACTAAGTTTACTTGTGAGATGTCTCCTCCCCTTAGAATATAAATGCTAAGTGAGAGACACCCTTTCCATCTTATGCTTTTCTGTATTACCTGTTTTTGGAACACAGGAGGCAAGAATAGTGAAGGACTGCATACATTCCCAACTAGCAGAACTGTCTTAATTAAGTGCAGGGAATTTATTCAGTAAACATTTTACTGAGGCAGACATACTTATTGAGTGCATTAATTTCCAAAGAGCCTAATTCTTATAACTAAAGCACGGGACTCAAAATATGACTGGGGAAAAGCTGCCCCCTAAAAGCAGAGGTGATGACGTAAATGGAGTAAAACTTTTCAGACCTTCATTTACTGATGGGGCACAATTCAAAATGAGAAACAGCTGTAAACAGCCATTAATTGTCAGAACATAGAATGCATAAAGTGTGAATCTTGGAAAATTGGATGTTATCAAAAAGAAATGGAACTCATAAACATAGATATACTAGACTGAAATTGACTAGTAAGCTGAAATTGACAAGTATCCGCCATTTTTAATCTGACAATCACATGGTTGAATACACCAGGAATAACAAATTGAAGAGGAATGGCATAGCCTCCATCAAAAAAGAACAAGTCCAAACTGCACTGACGGTACTGACAAAGAATAAGACACCAGAACTGATGGAGTACAAATTGCAATCTTTCAACAAACTGATACAGCACTGAGGCACTCACTCATCTATGTAAAAAAATTTGGAAGACAGCTACATGGCCAACTGACTGGAAGAGATTCATATTTGTGCCCATTCCAATGAAAGGTGACCCAATGGAATGTGGAAATCATCACACAATATCATTCATATCACATGCAAGTAAAATTTTGCTAAAGATAATTTAAAAACAACTGCAATAGTACATTACAAGGAACTGGCAGAGATTCAAACTAGATTTAGAGAAGGGCGTGGAATGAGGGCTATCATTGCTGACATCAGATGGATTTTGGCTGAAAGCAGACAATATCAGAAAGATGTTTACCTGTGCTTTATTGACTATTCAAAGGCTTCTGATTGTGTAGATCACAACAAGGTATGGACAACATTGCAGAGAACGGGTACTCTGAAACACTAAATTGTGCTCATGAGAACACATATATAGACTAAGAGGCAGTTGTTAGAACAAGGTGATATTGAATGGCTTAAAATCAGGAAAGGTGCATACCAGGGTTATTCTTATACCATACTAGTTCAATCTGTATGCTGAGCAAATAATCCAAGAAGCTGGATTATATGAAGGATGTGGCATTAGGATAGGAGGATAGGAGGAAGATTCATTAACCTGCAATATGCAAATGATACTTGCTGAAAGTGAAGAGAACTTAAAATACTTAGGGATTAAGAACAAAGACTACAGCCTTCAATATGTGTTGTTGTTGTTAAGTGCCGTCGAGTCAGTTCTGACTCATAGCGACCCTGTACAGGGTTTGCGAGGCTGTAAATCTTTATGGGTGCAGAAAGCCTCATCTTTCTTCTGCAAAGCGTCTGGTAGTTTTGAATTGCTGACCTTAAGGTTCGCAGCCCAATTGGTAACCACTACGCTACCAGAGCTCCTTATGTGTTGCACCTCAATTAATGAAAACAAAAATTCTCACCACTCTACCAATAAATAAAATCATGATAAATGGAGAAAAGATGAAGCTGTCAAAGACTTCATTTTATTTGGATCCACTATCAACACTCATGGATGCAGCAGTCAAGAACTCAAAAGACTTAGTGCATTGGCAAATGTGCCTCACAAGACTTCTTTAAAGTGCTCAAAAGCAAAGATGTCAGTTTCAATAGCGTTATATACATGTGACTGTTGGATAATGAATAAGGAAGACTGAAGAAGAATTGATGTGATATATTTGAGTTACAGTGTTGGAGAATATTAAAAGTACCATGGCCTTCCAGAAGAACAAACAAATCTGTGTTGGAAGAAGCATAACCAAAATGTTCCTTGGAATTCAAGATTGCAAGACTCTGTCTCTCATACTTAAGGACTTATTACCAAGGATCAGTCCCTGGAGAAGAGCATGGTGTTTGGTAAAGTGGAAGGTCAGCGAATAAGATGGATTAGCACAGTGGCAGCAGCAGTGGACTCAAGCTAAGGACTGTGAGGATGGGTCAGGGCCCAGGCAGTGTTTTGTTCTTTTGTGCAAAAGTTGCTATGACTAGCAACCGACTCGATGGTACCTAACAACAGCAACAACAATAACTTCTGATACTCCTGATGTGGCGCTGAAGGTTAAGCACTGGAATGAGAACCAAAAGGTCGGTGGTTCAAACCCACTAGTCGCTCCTCGGAAACCTATCCGTCAAAACCCACTTAAAGGCAGTTAACAGCCACAGTAATTCTGAGCACTCGAATTTTGCATCCACAAATTCGTCTCTATTTTCCACGAAGATGGCACTTTTTTAGTCTTTATTAAATCTATCCAGATTGAGTCGTAGCTGTCTTGGACAACCCAAACAGAACCTGACCACAAACAGCCTTCTCCGCCTCTCAAGCTATTCCCGCCCTTTCTCATCCCCGCACTTACCCGGCTGCTTCTCCGTGCCCTCAGTCCATGGCGCCCCTGGCCCGAGCTTCGCCTCCCCAGTGGAGGACGATAGGGCTTTTCCTTCCCCCCAGATCACCAGCAGCAGGTAGCGATCCATCTGCTCAGAGCCGACCCCAGTTTAAGGTCTCCGCTAGCACCTTGAAACAGCCGCGCACAGTGACACACTTCCTGTTCCTATCCCCTTAGGTCGGCTAGAAACTGTGTGACCAACACTGGATTCCGGCAGCTTCTCAACAAGTGATGATATTTTCAGATGTTACACTCCCAGTAGTACTCCCAATAGTTATGTTACTTTCTCTTTTTATGACAACATCGATACTTGCACGAAGACTCAATGGGACCCAGGAAAGGCGGAGAAGCGACGAGAAATGGGCGGGCTAGGAACTATCGTGCTGCGTTATGTGCGTTTCCGGACGGACGCCTGATGCTGCTGGACCAACCCTGTATCCTGGAGAAAGCAGGATCGTGTTGCTGGTAGGAAGCATGTCGAGTTTTTCTAAGGCGCCCCAGGTGAGCGCAGACTCTGGTGACTTGATGAGGCTCATTACATTCACGGAAAGAGGGTGGTGGGTAAGACGGATTTAGTAGGGTAGCCGAGCCGCCAGGGCACCTGAGACTTTGGGCTCAGAGGTGCCTCGGGAAAGCACAGACTAAAGGTTCGTGGCTGTGGCCAAATGCATCTGATTGGTTCCAGATTAAGACAAACTAGGAAGAAAGGCCTGGCAATCTACTTCTGAAAAATTAACCAATAAAAACCATATATATTACAATAAGATAGACTCTGAAGATGGGCTCTCTAAATTGAAAGACAGCTCAAAATGCACAGTGGCTGCAACAATGGAACTGAGCTAATAACATTGGGAATATGGTGCAGAAGTTGGTAAAGTTTCATTCTGTGAATTGGCACCAACAACAAATGACAGGAGCTTGTGTAGCATTCTTGGGGTTCTGTAAGAAAACTAGTGTAATTGATGAAAGAGGGTTGAAGTAATTGGAGTAGCACCTAGGGCACACACACCCTGGCAACAATTCACACTTTACTCCAAGTGAAATGGGCACTTAGAGCGTTGGAGCCTAGAACTGACATCTGACTTACATGTGAAAAGGAGCACTTTGAATGCTGGGTTGAAAATAAACCATTCTGAGATTGAGATTGGTGGAGTGTAGATGCAAAGAATCTATTTGGAGGCTTTTGTGGTAATCCAGGCTAGAGATGATTGTGATAATAAGTGATTGGGTCCTGGATATGTTTTAAAGGTGGAACCAATAAACTTTCCTAAAGGACTGGCTGTGGGCCAACAGCAAAAGAAACAGGGATTACGCCAAAGTTTTTGGTTTGCTAACTGAAAGGGGGTGCCATCAATTGGATGGGGAAGGCTGATGATTAAGCAGGTTTCAGGGGGAAAGGCACGAGTTCAGTTTTGGATAGGTTGATCCAAGATGCCTCTTAGCCCAGTGCTGCTCCAAATGTCGTTCCATCCTTATACTGGTATCTGCACATCATGAGAGAAATGCAGAGTGTGAAAGTGCTTAAAATTTTTTATAGTAGTTCAACAGCATTTTCATTTATTTTAAATCAAACTACTGGTCTGCAATAAATTGAGGGTAAACTGGTTTTTCACTACAGATGGTTTGAGAAGTACTATTCCTGGTATGGGCCTGTAGAGTAAGCACTCATCCTCAAGGTTAGTTTGAATTGCAAGGTGGCAGTTCA